TTTTTTTCCTCTTACACACTCCATTGTCACAAACTGATGCCCCACAGGCCACAGCTGGACTATCTATGTGTTCTTGCTACATGGTGTGTGTGTTTGTGTGTGTACGTGTGTGTGTACACTTATTTGAATGAGTCATGATGGAAGTTTCCTTAAAGATATAACCTCAGTTTATCTTGAAACACTGCCATAGTGATGATGGACTACATTTCTCATGGACACACACTGATGGAATGTAGTGTGTGGACACGAACATGCTCCCCTGCCCATGGAGATCCCAGGCCTACCGTGTTCATTTCCTTGACTTACCTGCCTGACAAACTGTGAGGAACGTCAAAAAAAAATCACAGAAAATGAAAGTTAAAACTAAGATTTCTTTGGCGCAGAAAAAGATAATAATAAAATACAAATGTCCAACAGCTCTTCAAAACATATATGGAAAATACACATTATATATAAAAAAGCAGTAAGCATGGGGTGTGAGTTGCTTTCTGCCAAAATGAACTTAGCTTATAATTCCATTTTCCACAAACTTTTTGAAATACCCTCACAGGCATCTGAACTTGCCAAATCTGGGAGCAATTACAGAAGCCATCCTTTTTTCTTGCCTCTACTGTAGCACATGTGTCTTTGGTACTGTAGCACTGAAGTTAAACAAGCCATTTGGGCTAATTCTGCTCATGCTGAAGCAAGACTGAATGTGAAATGGAAGGTTTAGACAACCCATCACAGGAAACCAGACACAGCTCACACTTGGCTCAGTAGGAGTAGAGACCTAGTCTAGCCCATCCTACACCTACCCTGGTCCTCCAGAGTACCAGTTGGTGCTGGATTCTAGCCCAGTCCATTGCACCCAGAGCCAGTCCACACTTGTGCTGAGGGATAGTAGAGCCATAACCAGACCAGAACACAGCACCCACTCTGGCCCCCACACTCACCGGCGCAAATCACAACCCAGCCAGGGTGTCCTCTTAGCTGTTCCCAGCCATAGTTCATGCGCATGCTAGTGGTTGCTCTGATCCAACTTGGCATAGCCCTTCACCTGTCTTGGCCTTTCCTTAGATGCTGTAACCTGGCCCGACCCAGCCTGCTCTCCATCCCAATTCTCACTGGTGGGTGATGGAACCTGGCCCTGCTCAGTCTTTTTCCCATTCCTGGCTCAAGCAAAGTTGTAAGAGCCCAGCTCAGTATGACCTGTGCTCCAGCCTGATTTCTGTTCTTGCTGGTAAGCTAAGGTTTGCTCAGCCCTGTCCGGTCTGCCCCCTTCCATAACCAACACACACATTAACCAACAGTTGCAGTTACTTTGCCGAGCTTGCCCAACCTCCAGGCCTGGAACATGTGATCATCAGTGAGAGTTATGACCCACTAGGGGAGTTTCCCAAGTTCCTCCAGTTGACCCACTCCCAAACCTAAATCTCATATATTCCAGTGGGTTTTAGGCCAGTGCCCAGCATAGTCTGCCCTTCCATCTTGGCCTTGTATGAGCTGATAAATATCAAGGCCAACCAGCACAGATGAATCTAGAAGAAGTTTAAGGGATGAAAAATGAGTCCCACTATTGTTGCCTAAGGGAGCTCACCTGGCTAACCACTCCCTCCCTAAAGTAGCCAATACTTTTCGTGAGTAGCCACTAAACTCAGTTATCAGCCCAAAGGCTACCCTACTTGCAAGTCACCGTACACAGAAAATTCCTAAGCAACACAGTAGCTATTTAGGATTCATTGATCATTTCTCCTAATCCAGATGCAACTTGCCAGTCAAGAGTCATTATTTTAAAAAAAATTAGTTAGTTAGTTAAAAGTCAGAATTACTTAGATAATTAGAGGGAGAGAGGAAGAAGGAGACACATATCTTCTATTTACTGATTTACTATCAAAATGGCCACAACCATCAGAGTTGGGCAGGACCACAATCAGGAGCCAGGGGCTGCTTCCCAGCTCCCCTTTTGTGGCAGCAACCCAAACACTTAGGCCTTCCTTCACTGTTTTTTTTTTTTTTTTTCAGGCCATTAGCAAGCAGCTGAATTAGAAGAGGAGCAGACAGGTCACAAATCAGCCTCTGCCACTGCTGACTCCAGCAAGAGGATTAAGGGGCAGTTCCCTTGCTGGACAGCTACTCTCACTGGAGAGCATGAGCTGGGATGGGGGCAGACCAGACTAGGCAGGGATACAACACCTGTGCACCTCATGTGAACCAGATCAGGGAAAAACCAGGCAGGGCTGATTGTTCCTACTGGTACAAACTACAATTAGAGTGGGTGAGGGTTGATTGGGCTTAGCCACAGCATGAGCTGGCAGAAGCTGGCACTGGAGGCTAGTTCTATCAAGTTAAACCAAAGAACCACCCGGAGAATGCATAATCCGGGAGTGGGAGAGGCCTGGGAGGGAAATAGTGGGCTCCTCCCTCTTGGGTTGTTACCACTCCCACTGGAGGGCACGAAAACTGGGATGGGGGCTTGGGGTGGCTAGACAGAGCAGCACCGGATAGTTGAGCTGGTTAAATGGAAATAGGCTTTAATACCCATTGTCGTGTAGGAGAGCCGAATGGGATGTGGGACAGACTGGACTAATCTACTGCACATACTGGCAAACCAGGGCAGTGGGCAGGCCTGGTGGGGGGTTATTGTGGGTCGCTCTGACTAGGCTGTAGCTCACACTGGTTTATGTGAGGGCCGAGTATGTGCTGGGCAGAACCAGGCCGGACTGCAACACCCATTGGTTACAGTGGAAGACAGAGCTGGAAGCAGAGCCGGCTCAGTGATCGCAACCACCAGCTGATCAGGGCAATGGACTGTGCTGGGCCCTGTGCTTGCTAGCACATACAAGAATCTGGTCTGAGAACACCTCAGACAAAGTTTCATTGGGGATCCCTCCACTCAAACTGCCAGACTCAGAACCCTAACCATGAAGAGACAGAGGACAGAACAAGTCAATTAGCTATCCCAGCCATACGTTGGTAGTGAAAAACTGGGCAAATGGAGACTGTATGATGGACTATGTCAATCAGTGGATTCTTAAGCGACCTCATGCTTGGAGTGATGAGATTGGCAGCGGTTCATAACTGTTGAACTGTCAAAACCACTTGAGCAAGACCCTCGGAGCATGCCCCACATCTGGGACCTTGGACAGGTGGGAGACTGGATAGGGCTTCTCCCTTAAAATCGCCCTTTACCTCAGGTATATGAAGGAAATAATGTAGAAATAATGGTCTTAACCACTTTCCTGTAGCTCTTGAACCTTTTTTACCCTAATTAAATATGTAAAGATTGTCAAAAACATAATTAAAAATGAAAAAAAAATCAGCCTCTGTAAGGGAAGCCAGCATTGTAGCCATACCATGACCTTGACCCTTCCCGGGTCATTTTTATCATATGCAATGCAGCCTGGAAATCTAGTCTGTATTCTGCTGTTGAATACTGCCAGAGAAACAGAACTGCACTATAGACCAGAGGTTGAATATACACAGAGAAGGGCAGGGTTTGTCTACCCATTACCCACACACATTTCTTATTTTTTTTTAAGGCTTATTTTTATTATGTTTTTATTGGAAAGGCGGATATACAGAGAGGAGAGACAGAGAGGAAGATCTTCCGTCTGATGATTCACTCCCCAAATGAGTGCAACAGCCCATGCTATGCCGGTCTGAAGCCAGGAGCCTCTTCCGGGTCTCCCACGCGGGTGCAGAGTCCCAAAGCTTTGGACCGTCCTCAACTGCTTTCCCGGGCCACAGGCAGGGAGCTGGAAGGGAAGCGGGGCTGCCGGGATAGAACTGGCACCCACATGGGATCCCGGGCGTGCATGGCGAGGACCTTAACCACTTGGGCCACCACGCCGGGCCCCACATTTCTTTTTAATTGAAAAGGGAGATCAGAGTCACACAGAGAAGGATACAGAGAAAAATCTTCCCTGTGCCAGTTCACTCCCAAATGGCCACAACAGCCATAGCTAAACTGATCCAAAACCAGGAGCTTCTGCCAATTCTCTCGTGAAGCTGAGAGGTTCCAAAGCTTCACGCCATCCTCTACTGTTTTCTTCAGGCCATAAGCAGGAAGCTTAATTGGAAGTAGAGAACCTAGGATACACCTGGTGCTCATATTGGACCTCAGCACTTGCAAGGTGAGGATACAAGCAGGGAGCTGGATGGGAGTGGAATAGCTGACACAAACCAGTGCCCATATCAGATCGCAGCACATGCAAAGCAAAAATTTTACCACTCTTTTTTTTTTTTCACGACTGAGATTTTATTGGTGTCGAGAATCAGTACACGGACATTTCCATTTGTACACAATGCTTAACATACGTAGCACAAAGAGTCTAACAAGCCATGAAGTGGCATTTTTGAAGTTCCAGCTTTGAATTTGGAGGCAGCCCTTCTGGAAGAGGCTACCAAGTACCAGTGTCTGCAGTTGCTGTCACATGAATCCCACCCACTCAAAACTGAACATCATATACACGACACGCAAGTCTTCAGTCTTTCACAGCACGTTAACGATTAGGAACCCTGGGCTCCCACAGCCAAAGGTGTAACAGGGTGTGCACGTTTCTGACACAGCAACAAGGAGTGGTTCACTGTAGGAAACAGCTCTACTGACCAACACGGGAGAAGCAATTGAAAATTTCCAAGACAGATGAAATGCACAACAGTGACTCCAAATTGCCATTTGGTATGCAGTATGTTGTAGGATATAAAAGCCTATATGGATAGGATATAAAAACCTATGGAATGGGAAGCTGACACCCAGACAGGCAGAGCCTCCCCTAATTCAATATCCCACTGGTTTCTGGTTGTACCAAAAAAAAATAAATAAATAAATAAACAACCAGCAGTGATCTTTAAAAAATTTACACTTAAAAAATGGGTTGAGGTGGGCTTCCCTGCTTCTTAAAAATGTTTCTAGAGCTACTAAAAAAACTTGCATGTACAAAAGAGTTGATAAAAATATTCTTCCTGATTGTACAAGAAGGGAGACTGGGAGCACTGATAAGACATGGTGTGTGGCGTTAATCGGACTTGGCTTCCTTCTCCTGGGCTTCGTCAGAGGCGGGACTCTCCTCGTTTTTGGCGTCTCCGTTTTTCGTGGGCGCGTCTTCCTTCGTTTCCTCGTTGGCCAGCTCGGCCTGCTTGCCCTTTGCCCCTCTCCCGCCCTTGGCCTGCACCTTCTTGTCCGACGGCTTCTTCATGCTGGCTGCCTTCTTGGGCTTCGCATCCACCTTTGCAGGAGCCGGTGTAGCCAACAACCTGGCCGATTTCTTCTTGGGCTCCTCCTTGGCCTCCCCTTCGGCAGAACTGACCTTCCTCTTGGGCATCTTGGCGGCAGGAAGCGCGCCTGGCGGGGTGCCTACGGGACGCGCCTTCACTAAGCCCCCCACCCCTTCATGAAGCCCCCTCACTCTTATATGAAAGCACCTACAAGTCTACTCTCCAGAGAGAAGCTAATATGGCAGTCGGATTGTTCAAATGGCTTTATAGAAGCTGTAAGGAAAGATGTGGATGGAGGAGAGGAATTTCAAGACCACTATCTTCTCCTCCTTTTTGTTTTTCTGAAGCTAACCCTGTTTGAAATATGAAACTGCTGTGTTCTGTGGGGAGGGTGTATGTGTGTGCACGTGCTTTACATGAACAGCCTATTATGTAAGCACCCAATCATGTCTTAGGACTTAAAGAGTCAGCAGCCGGAGTTCTGGGGACATAAATCACAAAGCAAAATGTAAACGTAGCACACTATTATATTCTGCACATAATAAGGCAAGAAAGTTTTACCTAGGGACCAGAAGGTTCCCTGTCAAGTCACATTAGTCCCACCGTGGGAGAATTTGTTAACCCAACTTATTCTGCTGCCTGCCAGGAAGGTCTTTGTGCAAGGGCTCGGAAGGAGGTCCCAGTGGGATGGGATAGCTCATTTGTAACTGCTCCACCTCAGGTCCACTCAACTCTACTGCCTTGCACAGAACACCCTCTTTTGCTCTTTCAGATTTTAAGCCTTGTCCCTATTCATGTCCCCTAGAATGGGAGCTGGGGAGAGTTTAGGGTCCATGTGAAGGCATGCAAAATGAAGGTCATGCTTCCGTGACTCAAGCCATTTCCAAAGAGTGTGGGGGCCTCCATCAGACGGGTCTCCAGAAACTCTTTTTCTCCTTGAAGTCCAATGTTATAAAAGTCCTCTTCTGGTATCTGATTTCTCATCCTGATGGGTGATGTGCTTGTGGAATGAGAGAAGGCAAGGAGCTCATCTTGATAAATACATAAACATTGCTCATTTTAGAGATATTTGCCTTTTTTTTCTTCCAAGACATTGCACGTGTATGTCTAATAATTCCCTGTAAGAGTAGATCCTGTCTTCTCTTCAGAACATAACAGCGGTCAACTCCATGGTGATTCAGACTTTTACACTCAGAGCTCTTCTGGGACTGCCCTCACAGCCAAAACTGCCCTCTGCAACAGGCCGACTGGCACCCACCCAAAGGAAAACCTTAGTCCTTTTCTCCCTGAGCAAGCCAATCAGGTTTTTCTATGATCCCAGTGGTGCCAAGGTCAAAGTCAGGCCCTGGAACAAGAGGGACAAGCAGGTATCCGGTGCATGGATCTACAAAGCAGCACCTCTCTCAGGTTGTTGTTCCAGGGAGGAGAGGAAATAGAGGGTAAAATCCGAGCAAGCAGAGGGGAGAGCTGGGAAAAGCTGGAAGACGTTGTCAAAGACACTCTTTCAAGTTTCCTGTGAGCTAGGAATCTGCAGATGCGCCTTGGCAGGGCTACAGAGTGCAGCAGGAGGCTAGGACTTGCACATCTGGAAGCCATTTGGCAGGGGGCAGAGTACAAATGCTTTCTGCTTCAGTTGCCTTCAGGCCGGTGCTGAGGGAGGGGGCTGGCTCCACACGGAGGAGAGAGTCTTTCTGGTTCCACTCTGCGAGTAGCCTCTCCCACATCCACTCATTACTCCCAAAACATAGTCGTGGGCTGTCCCCCGCAGCAGCTCAGTCACATGAAAAAGATGAACTGATTATCGAAAGGGAGAAGGGGACAGGGGCAGGAGGGGAGGGGAAGAAGAGAGTACACCACAACTGAGAGAAGCCTGGCTGGAAATCAAGAAACAAAATGTACTTGGACCACGTCCAGGGCATGAGTTAACTTAAGAGCAAAGAACACCATTCAGGCGAAGACAAAGAAAGAAAAAAAAAAGGGAGGGCGGGGAGTTTTCTCTGTTGCAGTGGTAACACCCGGGCAGCAGACTCACACCACCTCATTCTTCTCCTAGAAATCCCTGTACATTTTGTCTTCATTTATTTCAAGAACGTATTTATTTCAGAAAGGTTGTCTTCATCTGAAGGGAATGATTTAGTCCCTTTGAAAAAATTAATAGGGACTGCAGGGTGTGGGGAGGAGGTGTCCCAGGGTGTAGTCACTACCCCCTGTTCCACAACCTCTGGCTGTAACATGCTAGCCTATTCCTCCCTTCCAGAAAAAGGCAGTGTCACCTCAGGTGCTCAGCTTCCCTCGGCAGGCAAGCACATCTTCAGGGTGAACTTGGGCCCCACTGAAACTCCTGCAGGTTCAAGGGTGAAGGCAAAATGGCTTACAGCTGCTCATAAGCTCCATCCTGAGGCTCGGGTGCCTGCTTGGCAGGGTGGTCCCGCAGATGAGGGTAATGAGTTAAAGACGCTGGGACAGACTCAACAGTAGCTAACATGATCCAGGACCTCAGAAAGATTAGACTCCACCTAGGGACAGAACACAGCATGAAAAAGAATGAGTAACAAATGCAGCACAGAATCAATTCAATGCCAGCTGTGAGCCTCAGCAAGTTCAGACAGATCTTCTCCATGTTGCTCAGCCTCCCGCATCCTCTAGCTGGGTGGATGTCCCTGCCATTCCTGCAGGTGCCAATCATAGGAATACCACATAGCCCCCTTCCACACCTGACTTATCCAACGTCATCGGCGTTGAATTTGATGCCCTTGGCATCTCTTCAGCGTGTCACCCTTGTCGTTGGTATCTCTAAAGCCTTAATTACTGCGACTGCCCCCAAATCACCTTTCCAGCTGTTTATCTCTCCAAGGCACTCTCTGAAATGAAGGTCTGAGCCTGCCATTTTCAGCTCTAACCCAATGGCTCTCCACAGCTTTCCGGATACAGCTCAGCCTCCTGAGCAGGACTTATAAAATCTTTGTGATCTGATGTTTGTTCATATTCCATACTTCTTCCTCATTAGCAGACATACAACAATCAACTCTTCAGTCATGATGCTGGGTCATCTTGCCTGACCCATTCCTCCCTCACGTAATGGCGTGTATCTTTAGACGTCCTGCTCATTTCAGAATCCCTTCTGCACCTGAACTTCGACACAGTTTCTCTCTGAGTCCTGGAAGAGTTTCTTCCAGCCTGCCCCATGCTTCATCATCTTCTAAGTCCAAATTACTGCAAAAAGTCTGCCCTTAGCCACATGGCACGCATCAAAGGCTACCAAAAGGAAACCAGGTTGTCAGGAGTTTGCTGGTCTCAGGAAGAGAGAGCAGGTTTTATCCTCTTCCTCACACTGTTTGCACCTTTCCTGACACACCCTTCCTGATAGCTGGGACAGATTAGTTGAATCAGATATGAAAGTCGAACCATTACAGAGTAATGCGCAGCTAGATTGGGATGGGGTGCTGGAACCTGGCATGACACAGAATGGGAACTGTCGCCACTCGTAAGGCTGTGAAGGTCAGCAGGGAACCCCTGCCATGTACATGTCGTATACCCTTGAAACAGGATGGAGACCACGTTCACCAACACCCCAGGCAGCTAAGAAATCAAAGACCTACAGTGTGGTCAGTGGCACCTCCTCATTCCACAGGCCATTTTGGGGACAGTACATGTTGGCCCCCTGAGGGAAGGAACACAGCATTTTCCCATGGAGCCAGTCGAAGGCTTTACAGCAGCCTAAACTTGTGCTTCAAATTTGTGCCTCCGTAGAGGAAAATATCTATCTATATGAGACTCATGGAGAGATAATCTGGAAATCAGATATGAGAGGGCTTTGACATTTATGACACACTATGCAAATCTGAACATGCTACTCCCAAACTCAGCATCTACAGTACAATGCAGAACAATCACTCGGGCCTCCGCGATGACATCCGTCTGCTTTCAGACACCTGCATATGATTTAGGGCAATCAAATTCAACCCCCACAGGAAAACAATGCTCTCTTAGCCCCTATTGCCTTTCTGTTCCTTACCACGTAGTGTCTTCTGTCATGCTACATAAGTAATTGAGCAGGCAAAGAGATGTATGAGTTTTGAGGCTGAGAGTTTTATGTCTGTATCTTTCCATTGTCTCAGCTTATTTCTCACTGAATTCACTTTAGATTCCAAAGAGATGACTGAGCCTGCATCTACGGATCTCTGTATCTTGTAGGTAGAGAGTGTTCCGAAAGAAACATGTAGAAGAAAGGTCAGAATTGTTATATCCATTGTCATATTCCTGAGCATGCAATTGCCTTGAAGGTTCCTCAGGAGACCCTGGCCACATGACTATCCTTCCAGTGGGATGTTGGCAGGCCCTTGCAAATCCATTCGAAGGAGAAGGCCCCAGAAACGTCTCCAACTGACATGCTAGGGCTAATTGCCCGTGCTTTCTATTGAGTCTTACTGAGCTTAGCTGCTTGATTTCTTCTAGACCTCAAGAGGACTCAGACCTTTGACAAAGGCACCCTATTGATTGTGTTTTTCTCATCCTCCTGGGATATTGTGTTGATATCAAATGCCAAAGAAGAATCATGCTTCAATTCAGAATCCAAAGCTCCGCGTGTGTCCTGGAACCTCTGGCTGCCTTTTCGAAGTTCATTCTGCTGTGTCTGTAGCAACCCTAACTCACTCCCAGTATGGGCTAGACACCTCTCATCTGGTACTTTTCTCAAAGAATGCAAAAGAAAGGATTCCCGCTCAGGCTTGCAACATGAGCAAGTACCCATAACACAGAAAAACGCATAAAAATACACATTCTAAAGACTGCTGAAAGGTATCCAGCAGCCTGTACGCGTCCTGGTTAAATCATGGAAGAGACTAGCAAGCCTTTGAGAGTCAGTGCTGCATTCCGAAGGCCATCCTATCTGAGCCTGTGTGGTCTCCCTGGGAGACACGGAGGCTTGGGAAACTCAGAGATAGTAGTAACAGGTGAAGGAGGAGATAGTGGTCTTTAGCTAGAGGAGAAAGCTGCTGTGTAGTTTGGCTCCTTCCTAGAGGCTGGCTTTCAGAAGCTTGGAGTAAGCTGTGGTAAATACTGAGGGAAAACTGCAGTATACCTCTGGAAGTAGTACGCAGGGGGGCTC